TGGTGCTGGAGCCGAGATGTTGACTACTTCGCCTGGTATACAGAAGGTCATCGGTTTGATCCCGACCCTGATGCCTGTCTATTTGGAGTTTGCGTGTCTCTCTCTCCGTGGTCGTGTGGATTTTCTCCGGGTCCTCCGGTTTAAACCTCCACATTTAGAAACACGCGTTTAGAGTATTCGACTGCTATACATTTTCATGTGGTAAGCCACTTTGCTGAGCTATCATTTGTGGCCAGGTCGCTTCTGAAAGAAAGCGCAACACAGCTCAGTGGGCCTTGCCTGGTAAAATCAAATAAAACAAATTGTTTAGTGTATAATAGTTCATAGTGTACCGTTCCGGCTTTTATAGGTGCTCGCTAAAAGCGCTTACCCCAACAACCTGTTGAGGCTCTACTGGGGGATCTTTGTCTTTGTTCACCTGAGCACTGCTTAGGGTATTGCGTGGCGGGTCAGAGAGGTGCGCATGGCAGTTCGGGGTAAACAACTTCACCCATTCCCGGCCCTAACTCCCGCCCTCGGCGATCCACTGAATTGTCGCGGCTGTTTAGGGTGGTGGTTAAATTCAAGGATTGATTCTTCTCGGGGGGGAGGGGTAGGTGCACGGGTGGCGCAGAGGTCAGAGCGATGAGCTGGCGCCCGCTGGCAAATATGGGATTGAAAAAACGTGTTAAGCCCCCCCCCTACCCAACTCCCGCTCGTGAATAAACCTGGGTTCTCAAGTGTAAACAGCTCCGTGTATGCTTTCAGAACGGGTCACCGATGACTGCGCAAATAAACCGTGAGGTTAAAATTGACACTCCCTGCAGGAAGATTGTTTAACGTGTGCTGGGGTCACAGTCGAAATGTTGCCGGCTTTATAAAAGTGCTCGCAAATGTACTTAATTGGGAAACCGATAGCAATCGTCACACACCACTTCAGGACCCTCCCGAATAAAATAGAGTCTTGGGACTCGGTGAAGCTTTTCTGCGTATATAAGCGGAATCATGAAAAAAAAAGATCCCCATGTGATTAAACCAGAATATCGATAGAAAAAAAATGGGGAAAGTGGAGGTGCCATTGGTTTTCACCCTTCGCATGCGTCGCTTAATGCACTTCACATTGAACCTCTGTTGACCCGAGCTCAATATAGGGTCAACAGCTAACATGAGCGGGGAGTGACATCTAAACCAAGGCTGTGCCTCACGTTCACCAATCCGCACTGAGGAGCGTGGTGCGGTACGGTTAAAACAACCCCCACAACTGACGCAAGCTTACGGAGGCGTTCATCCAGCAGTGGATCGACAATGGGCCGTGAATTATTATAAGTTGCGGTGTCCGAGCGCGTCACGCCATGTTGCTCAGGTAAATCGATTGGACAATATTCAACGTTGGATCAATTAAACAATAGCAGGGGGCATGCTGCATCTCTCTCTGGGGGCGTGACTAGGATTTGTCGGATGAGTGATGCATTAACATCGGTGTGTGCTTCATGTAAAGTCATCTTTTCTCCAGGGCAGCATTAGCATTTTTTGAGCCATTCGGGATTCATGAGATTCCACGTCAATGTTTTGTTGCGCGCGGAGCTCTCATTGCATCATCGGGTATCCGCCTCGCATTCCGTGATCCCATCGCAGCCTTGTGTTGAGGTGACCCTGTGATGTGTAAACACCACGCGAATTTTAAGATGTGTTCACTACTAAAAATACGCTATATATAGAAAAACATGATAACCCCCGAACCGATTATTAGGTTATGTATGTGTGTTGAACTTCTTTTGCACCGTACGTAGCCGACCATGCTAATCGGAGGTGCGATGTATTTAAATATTCTTCAAAATAAAATTGAATATTTGTTATTTAAATTTTACCTTAAACAAAACCGGTTCAGGTTTTTGCGGTTGTGCTGCTGCGCGTCTCTCCGACGCGGTGCCGCGTGTTGCCCGGCAAAATGTCCGACGTTTTACTGCACGTGCCAGGGACTTCTTCAGGAACTTAGCCGAGACGTCGTACATCGCACCGAACAGCGCGCGGTGCCACCTGAACACCCATGGGAGAGATACACAGTTCGGTTATCGTTTACTTATCTTTTTTTTAAAGTAGCTTCGACAAGAAATGTTAGTGGAATTTGACGTTTAGTTTTTGTTGTCTTCTGCTCATGATCAGTTATTATTATTATTAAGGAAGACTTCACAATCGTGGCGATCACTCGATGAAGCCGGTGGTTGTAATCGACAGCAAAAACGTTGTACTCGAATTGTTAATGTTGTGGATTTACTTTCCAACACACCGATGTGCTGATCTAGTAACTAATTGGCACGTTTTGTTTACGTGACAAACCTTACAAATTGTCTTTGTCGGATGGTGGCGGGTTTAACGACATTAATATTTACGTCATATAACCCAAAAAAACTTTATTATGGTTCAGTTATTTTTATTCTCTGAACTGATTAGCTCAAAATCTCATCATACTCATCATCATCATGTTCAGCATCACAGTAATTTGTAATTCAGAAGTGTGCGCGTTTGCTTGTGGTGAAAAAAAAAGAATTCTCGCCAATATTCCATGCCACTTCGGTCAGCTGTGTACAATGCTGCTAATTTAACGATGGACGTGTTTGATTACGTCTGCGAGTAATCCTTTTGTCACAGATTTACGGCTGATTATATACGATATTTGGCACTTGTAATAAAATGAACTTGGCAAGGACGTCAGATTCTTGTAAAGAGAGTGCCTTGTTGGAGTTTATTCGCAGACTAGATGTCAATAAAATCATCGTCATCATTAAGATGCTCGCCGTCACGTGAATTAAGAGTCGTAAATAATTGATCTTGATTTCCTCAATAAATAAGCACCCAATACGCCTCGTTCACATATCTCTCACTGCACATGTTTTCTATAAGTATTTTTTTACACATCCTGTCAGCCACACGGCAATCTCTGAGTGCAGCATTTCAGCAGCATTGATTCCACACAAGCCAAACCCTGAATCGGCTTCGACATTCAGCCGCTCATCATCAGAGCTTGAATCAACGCTGGTGAACTGCCAAATGTTTACAGGCAAGGGGACCCTCTTAGGGACCCTCCCCACGAGATACGGGGTCCTAGCATTTTTCCAAAGTGAAGGTGGCACAAGGGACTGTTTGACCAGCGGCTTGCTAAGCTACACAGTACGAGTGTTTAGTTACTCCGAGGCTGCCACCTCCTCACCTGGATCCTGTTCCTCCCATTATGAGCAAGATCCAGGTGTGCCAGGCATCGCGAGAGAGAGAGAGAGAGTGCCGTGTGAACCTCCAACAACAAATGCCGAAGTGAGATTGTCGCCGTTTAGCCTTCAGCCGCCTGGTGAGAACTGCCAGATGCTCAGAGGCAAGGAACCTCTCCGTTAGCTGTGGGTCCTGGTTCAACGGCAAACTCTACATTGTGCGTCCATACTTAACGCAACGTAATTATTAGCGCCATTGTGGAGAATGTCAGTCGCTAAATGAGCAGACAGTGCGTCTTCTTTCCCATCCCCCACCGCCACAATGTGTTTGCCCCCCACGAAGAAGCCAAGGGCAGAGTTATAAACGCAGGGATGCTGTGCCAACCGTTTGCATCCCTTTCTTCCTTTTTTTGTTGCGTCTGTAAACCTGACACCAATTTTCCAGACGAAATTGCCAACGTCGGGCCGGGTCGGTAAATGCCAACGCGTTTGCAAGACCGTGCGCCGCGGAGCTGGCTAGCGGCTAGCACGGAGGGTGCGAGAACGCCACTTGACGGAACGTCGCGTGCGCCGTGCACCGCACAGCGCCGTGCACCCCGTAGCGCCGTCAAACCCCACAGCGCCGTCAAACCCCACAGCGCCATCAAACCCCACAGCGCCGTGCACCCCGTAGCGCCGTCAAACCCCACAGCGCCGCGCCGGCCAGCGGCGTTGCTGCCGTGCACAGCCGACGTCTCCCCGTCGCTCCCCAAGCTCCCCGGATCGTCGTCTGCCGCTGACAAAAGCGAACCTCGCTCCGCCACTTTTTGGGGTTTTCTTAAACTAAAATGTTTTTTTTTTTTTTGAACCCACAACACAAAACGCAACGGGGGTGGGGGGTAAACGAATTCGCGCGCGAGGAACATAGCAAGGATTCATCTTCTTTGGTTCTTTCGGTAAAGTCACGTAGAATGAGAATAAAATAATAAATTGATAAAATAAAATAACGCAATGAAATTCTCACGACGTTAAATAAAATTCTCAAGCCGCTTGTGTTGTGGCCGAAACGTCGTGAGAATTTTATTGTGTTATTTTATTTTATCAATTTATTATTTTATTCTCATTCTACGTGACTTTACCGAAAGAACCAAAGAAGGGGAACATAGCAGTTTTGTTTTTTAGAACGTTCACCCAAGTGACTGTTGCGATGAGCATTTTCTGTTGGCCTTGCGGGAAAGGATTCAATTAAGCGACTTGCGGTGGCAGTCTGTGTGTTGTTTTAGGTGTGTCCTGGAAAACACTTTGATCTGCCATGAACGTCTCGCTGAGATTGCGCGGCAGGTTTAGTGGACGAACAGAATGAATTATTAAGTTCACTGTGCAGCCCCCTGTATGGACACGATACAATAACAACTTAGAAAACATGGATTGTAAAGGTGTCCCAAATGAATCTGGCATGGGCTATTTATATTCAAATGTGGGTATTCTCTCACGCTTCCAAGACATCAGAGTGGGCCAAATAATCGCGAGAGCTGCTCTTTGGAGCTTCCTCTAAATGGAGGCCCTTCCACCAACAGTGGCACGTGCAGGCAATTGTACCTGTGGGGTTATGAATGTGTTCCTGGGCACCCGCCAATTTTGTTCACAATTGTTTCACTTTGTGGTGGTTGATGCGGTGGCATGCCGTCCGTCCTGTCGGCTTACGGGAAAGCCACTGCCTCTTTCCAATTCTGCGTGCGCCTCCATGCAGAACCCAGTTGTTTTTGTTTTGCGTTGAGCTCTGCATTTGGCGATGACTGTGAACGTCTTGTCTGCCTGCCTGCCTGTCTCTACTGCCAGGGCGTGATGGCCGGCCCGTCGGGGTGCACGGTGGAGCTGCCCGGCGTGCCCGGCCTGCCCATCCCACCCATCCAGGCCGGGCCCTCTGCACCGGGAAGCCTCTACCAGCTGTCGCTTCGCCTCCGCGAGGGACGTAACCTGGTGATTCGCGACCGTGGAGGTGCGTGATCGTCACGTGCGCGCGTGCGGGAGAAGTGGACTCCATACGTGCGTGTCCACGCGTATGCAACGCTCATCATGCGATCTCTATCACATGACGTGGGTTCACATGCACATCGCGCGCTCTCAGATGCGCTTCTGTGGCCGGCTGGACTGCTCTTCTGATATTAGAAAGCAACTGGAGCCATGCACTTTTAAATCTAAGATTTGAAAACTAATTTCTTCAGAACTGCTTTTTGTGTTTAGTTTGTTGTCTTCTCCCCCGCACCTCCGATTAGCACTTTTGGCTTACGTACAGCACGACAAAAGTTCAACATACACACATACATGTCATCGGTCACGTGACCTCGCTGCTCAATTTTCCGAACGAAACCGATGCCGGGTTGCTCGCCCGAGAGGACGTCCACCGTGGCGACGGAGTGAGCTCTTGCTCGAGTGCAAGAGCTCGATTGATTGTCGCGACCGCGAGGGATCGCAACGGCTTGGGGAGGGCCCTGAGTGTAGCCTTGGCCACGCCACGGCTCACGGCGACGATGACGTTGATTGATTGGTTGCGACCTGCCGGAGGAATTTGCTGATCTGTGAACTCCCACGTGGCAACATTCTGTGGCACGCATCACCCAGAGAGGCACATTCTTATGATGGATGACGACGGCGACGATGACGAAAAAACGTGCCAGCCCACTTCGCAAACCGGGCGAGTGGGCTCTGCCCTCATTGTTATAAATAGCCGTGCCTCGCCAGGGAGTTGTTGCCGAGACAATGGGAGCTCCCTAACCGAGCCGGGCGGCTCGCGTCGTCAAGGGCGGCTGCACGCTTGGAGCTGGGCTCCCCGCACGTCGTTAATCGCTTCTCTGGCGTGTGTCAACTTCGGTGCCATGCGTGGAGTGGGGGGGGAGGGGGGGGAACCAAGAGCCAAAACATTACAAAATAAAATCGATGTAGGATTGATATACGACAATATGAAAAAAATATACAAATAATTGTGATTGATGTTCTTTGGGTCTTTCGGTAAAGTCACGTAGATAGGTTCAAATTAATAATAATAATAAAACTACTTCAAATTAATAATAATAAAATAAAACTACTGTGAATTCATGAAATGTGTACAAAATGCATTAATAAAATAAATACTTCTTTTCTTTATTAATTTGAACCTAACTACGTGACTTTACCGAAAGACCCAAATAATATGAATTCCTGCAGTCACGAAAGCTTTAAGTCGATAATCATGATTGATTCCCTCGAGCTGCGGGGGAGCTGCTACGGTGGTCCTAATGGTCGGCAAACTGGATTTGCGATCCGCGGGTCGCCAGTTCGATTCCATCTCTCTCGGCACTGCAGTTGGAGACAATGGGGCGATCTCCTTCAGCCCCCCCCCCACTCAGCGGTATCGATGGGTACGCTACGTTCAGTCGATGGGCAGATCACTCCTTGTGTGGGCAAAGTGTGGGTGCGACCCACCCCTACCGAGATGTTCGGTCGTTGTGAACGAGTAGGCCAAAGACCCTCTCGAGCTGCTTCTAGTGGGAGGCCCCTTCCACCAACAGTGGTGTGAGAAAGCGCTTGCAGGGCCTGCACCTTTACCCTCCTGATACAGAGGGGGGTGGAGGGGAGGGGCCGAGTCCTCATATCCGGGATGAGAAACGAGCTGTTATTGCGACAGTTTACATCGTCACTGTCAGTGCGATCCACTTCACTGGCGGATGATGGAGTATTGACTCTCCTTGCTGATGCCACTCCGCAGTCGTGGATGTCACATCATGTTGCGTGTATCCTGTGCGCACGTGTGTTCTCTGTGTCACACAGAGCGGGGGTGTAGTGATCAGCGCTACGCTGCGCTACGAACCCGGCGACCCAAGCTCGATTCCGGCTCACGGCCAACACCGGTGACGATTATTTGAACCGTTCCTGTGCCTACCCTAGGTCGACTCAGCCTCAAATGGAGTACCTGGTGCGATGTGTAAAACACTTCGCCACTGGGGAGACAAAGGCGGTCGGGCGTGGTTGCTGGCCACCCACCCCCTTGTGTGCCGTAGCGGCCTTCATAGGTGCTCGCTAACAGCACTTGCCCCAAAAGTCTGTTAAGGGTTTTGGGGTGATCTTTGTCTCTGTATCGTGGGGGAGCGGTAGTGTAGTGGTTAGCACACTGTGCTACACTAATCCGGTGGCCAGAGTTCCATTCCCAGTCTCGACCACCGGCCATCGTCACTCCGAGCGACGTGTGCTGCCCGAGGTTACGCGTTCTTAACAGTCAGCGCGGCGTTTCTAACTTGTTTGTGTTCTCTGGTCCACGCGTTATGTGTTGCTATATCGGGCTAAATTAATGTGTGAAGAGCATCGACGGGGTAAAAATGAGGGAGGGAGTTTATTTACGAATCACGGCCTCAGGTGCCGGGTGCCACCCTTCTCATTTCCACATTCTTTGCCCCTCATGTGGGTGCCGCCTTTGCTATTTTAGCATCTGCACTGAATGCAAAAGTCGGTTCCCGTGAAGTAATTTACCGAGCGATTGTCGTGATGGGGGTGGGGCTAACATGGGACGGCGATCGATTGCGTGCACGGGACGATTAATAATTTATATTTTGATCGTAATGTTAGTGAGGTCGACAGCAGCCTCTGCATCTCACGTGGTCATTCTCTTAGTCTGCTCGACTGAAAACTCATCTCTGGCCTTTACCCAACGGCTCCGGCCGTTGAGCCCGCAGCTTCTGTTTATTTCCTGCTTTTCATACACGGTGGCGCGTTTGGATCTACGGATGAAATGCGCCTTAAAAATTGTAAATTGTCATTATTAAACGTTTTAGTCCAACACTCTTGAGTTATTAATCGTTGGTGCGACGGCTGCAATTTCCCCCCCTGTCTAACGTTTACTGGGGACGGTGAGCGCAGTAAATCATGGTGCACATATCGGCAATTAACGCGTGTGGTCTTCCCCGTTGCGCCATGCTGCCAAATGACGGCTCCTGAACAATCTTCGCCTGCATCTTCGTTCGGGCTCGATTAAAATATAAGCGCAACACATTTTGTCGACAGATGTGTTGATGCGTGGATAGAAATTCCGAGCTCCTTTGATGCCTGCTTAGGCAGATTCGCGGATATCGCCCCCCTTTCCACGGCAGATCGGATGAGAATGCCGTGCCGAGCGGGCGTGTTCCGCCTGCTTGTTGACTTCAAGAAAGTATTTGAGAATTGTAATAATTCTACGTAGAAATCGCCTTTCATAAAGGATCTCAAAAGCGCTCTACACGGTGCATCGTGCACTTGGCATTTAAAAAAAATAAACTCAAGAAATAAAATAAACTCAAGAGATGGCAAAATAACAAATTAAATACTGAGAGCATTTTTGCTGAATTAGCAGACGATCGATCGAATGCGCAGTGCTGTAACTGACTGACTCACACAAAACCTCCCACTGGTATAGGCTCTGGAACAAAGCTCAGTGCAGTGGGGAAGAATTACAGACTGACTGGTTTAGAGCTTCCTTCGGCGGCGGCACGGTTGGCTCCATTATCATCAATTTTGTGCCACATTGCTGTGGAACGGGCAGAGCGGCATATTTTAAGATTCGCACTTTAAGGTGAAAATAACGACGCAGTGGACAGTCAACCCAGGTGAGTCACTGTGCTTGCTAAATTCTCCTTTGCCTGCTGATGCTGCTGCATTTTTTGACTGGCGCTGAAGTTGACGTGGCAATTGAAGGGTGGGGTGGGGTGCGGGGAGCGTGCGGCCTGGATGTGCAGCCGCCGTTTGTGAAAAAAACACAGCCGACTTTTTCCTCATCTGCTCCAACGGCAGGCCATGAACTGGTGTGCCATTGGGGCGTCGTTCATGGGGTGAGCCCTTGTTTACTGCGGGGTATAATCGTCGTCATCGTCGTCATCATTGTCGTCATCATCATCGTCGTTGTCGTCAAGCGCACTTCAATTTTATTTTGCATAATCGAAACTCTTTAGAAAAGCAAGTGAGCTTAGCAGGACGCTTCACTACTGGAAGTGATGACGAGTTAAGGATAATAATAATAATGTATTGGACAGCCAAGGAAGGCAAAGCGTCTGAGAGGACGTCCGCCGAAGGAGATGGAGCGACGAGATTGGTGGATGTGCAGGCGCTTGGTGGATTGTTATGTAGCAGGATTGTGAAAGGTGCCAAAAAAATGTGCTTAAACACAATCTGCATCAAAACAATAAATACACACCTATGTCAATTGCCGCCCTGGAAGGTCTAATCGAACCGGTGACCTCTGGCTTGCGAGTCCAGGGCGCTGACCGTGACAACGCTGTGACAGCAACCCTTCGTGTTCGGGACTAAGAACCACACTTTCCGGTCAAACAGATTTGCACAGAGAAGGGCCCCCACTTTTGTTTGGTTGACTTGTGACTGATCACAAGTCACCAAAAGTGCGTTATGTTTGGTCTTCGTTTGGGGTGGGCTGGGGTGGGGGGAAACAGAAGAAAAACCCATTTGATTTATAAATATCAGAATGAGCGAGGTAGGACAAGGGGTTTGCGCTGATTGAGAGATCTCCGGTGAGATGGCTGGGTTCACTAGTCAGTTGTTGTTCGAGTGTCGTTCGTCACTTTGTGCTGGGCAGATCGTGGGGTGATTCCACTGGACATCTGTAAGAAAAAATAAAGAGCTTTATAGCTCATCGGATTCCTCCAGTCTAAATGAATATTCTGTTTCTGATTCAAGGCAAATTGTAAAAGCTCAGAGGTCATTGAACTTTGGTTAAAGGCATGCCTAATATCTACTCGAGGAATATGCGCTCGATTGCTTTTTCACATTTTCAACAGTTTGTGTTAATTACATCTGGTTAATCATCACACTCGTAATTGAAGAATAAAAATAACGATACATAAATAATTTGACGCCAAAACTTTATGGAAAAACGTATTGAGCCAATGGGTGATGCCCTCATGTTTCACCCCCCCCCACCCCCTCTTCTAAGGCTGGCGACCACTGCTTGTGCATTATTATCTTCAGAAACAACTTTGCACG